AATATGTCTTTTCACGTAAAGCCGCCGAGCCAGCTAGTCGACTCTAGGGATAGCAGAACGCCTCTAGTGGCTTCATCAAACCGAGTAAGAACAGCAAGTAAATACACTGCCGTATGCAATGCGAGATAAAGGAGAAAATTCTGGATTCTTGGAAATTTGAATTGCATTTTCCTAGTAATAGTAATCATACACTTATATACTTATTTTTTCTATTGGGAGCTTATATGATTATTTAAGATAGCTTTAGGGAAGTAAAACACCATCTACACAATATTGCACTAATTTATTTATTGACTTGCCATTCTCCATTTCGGACTTCCTTTGATGATGATTAGCTTTCAAAGTCAAACTTGACCATATTGTTTCTTCGATAAACATGTCCTAGGAAGCGGGGTTATAAATGACCTTATTCAGGGAGTGCTAATGTGGGTAATCCCTACATTGTCGATGAAACTAGTTAAAAATTAGACATCTAAATCAAGGCTTTCCCAACTTGTCATTCTCATTTTAGGATATTGAAATAGATTGAACCTTCATTAACTCAAAGACATAACACATTGTAATACAGCAATTTACCATTCAATCAATTATTTCGATAGGCTGACAGATAAATGATAACAAAATTGTTTCCATTAATCAGGCCACAGGGCACTTCCTAAACATGCTTTATGTGAAGGCTTTTTTATAAAGTGTACATTCGTTATGTGAAGAGACTAACTAAAGGACAGATCTTGATGTACGGTATTCTTGTGTTGTACTTGAGCCCAGCTTCCCTTTGGTCAGTGGTCATACAAATACAAAAGATCATGTGTGTTTCATGGGTCTTGTGTTTATCTTGTTGCGCGAAAAATAAGCAAACTACATCTTGATCAATTTATGGAAAGAACACAAGAAAATGATGGTTCCTTCCTTGAACCACTTGCATGTTCAACGGAAAGAACTAAAAGTCGAAACGTATTCAAACAATACTGTCGTTCATTCGTCGGGGTTCTACTTGCATTGCTGTCTGCTTTATCAGTTGTGATAATGAACGTATTTGCAAAACTCTGCCTTATTCTTCCTCCTTTTGAAATTGGAGTAATTCGCTTTATAGTTCATCTTTTATTGACGACACCACCTGTGATTTACACAAACCATTCGCTTGTTTATCCACCGAAGGTCATTGCACTTCTTGTTTTGAGAGGATTTATTGGAGCTAGTGGGATGTTCACTCGAGTTTACGCTGTGCAAAACATGCCTTTGGGAGATGCTATTGTATTGATTTTTACATCCCCAGTATTCACAGCCGTTTTGGCAAGGATATTCTTGAAGGAGCGTTTACATTGGATCTATTCGATTCTTCTTGTGTTATGTATGGCTGGTGTTACTCTGATTGCACGACCAACATTCATCTTTGGACATCCAGACAGTGCTCCTGAGTATGATAACGTGTTGATACCCACTCTTGTTGCTTGGCTATCAGCTGTATGCTCAAGTTGTGCTATGGTTACTATTAGAGTGCTTTTAAGAACATACAAAGTCCCATCAAGTGTGATATTATTATACTTTGGCTTGGTTGGACTTGTTTATTCAATTCTTGGGTCATACTTTGACAGAGGATTTCAGTTTCCATTTTGTCAAAGTACAGATTATTTGTTTGCAGCATGTGTAGGGGTTTTTGCATATCTGACTCAGTTTTTTCTTAACGGAGCACTTAAGTATGAGAAAGCCTTCATAGTAGCACTTTCACGAAGTCCAGGGACTATATTTGGGTTTATCTTCCAAATAATAATTTATTCCCTTATTCCAGGTGCTTTAAGCTTTGGTGGTGCATCATTGATAATATTGTGTAATCTTTTCATTTTTATGTTAAAGTGGTATCAGAACAAGAACCGCTATGGAAAATAAGAAAGTCATATTTTTATTTATGTAATAACTTGCAGCCTGCGGAAAAAAATGAATATATCATCAATACACTTAAGCTGAAAATGCATATATATTATTTTTAGATCGATTTAGGATTGTTTCATTCACTGAAAATATTAAAAATAGTATTTTTGATGCTCAAATAATGGTGGTACATAGTAGTTTTTTCTTTACGAGAGATTCTTTAGACCATGACAACATTATCCATGTTGTTGGTATGGTCCAGCATYATAATGGATTATGAAGTGACAAATAGTTTCACTTGAAGGTCAAATAGATTCAAACATCTCACATCAGGTAAATTTAAAACACTAGGAATGTTGGAATATGGTGTTTGAAAGGATCTTTTTGATGGATTTGAGGTCCCTCAAACATTCAAACCATAAAACCCACCACAATTATCCCAAAATCAAAGATAACCACTCTAAAATTGYCCATTGATATTGTCCATATTTGGCACACTTTGAATTGTTAATTGCTGCRAGCGAAGCGAGTAGTCTTTTATTCGGTTTCACGGTACAGTGTTCTTTTATGTGTTCATAGTTTCACAATCGCAATTGCAGATTGGAATTCGCGGAACAGGTAGCTTGAACCCAGTGTTCTTTTATGTATTCATGATAGTTTCGCAATCGCAATTGCTGATTGGAATTCGCCGAAACAGGTAGCTTGAAGAAACAAAAACGTATACTGCCCGAAAAAAATATTTTGCGTTACGTGACAAGTTGCTTCAAACCACTGCGACGCTAATGACGTGACCTATATCTGTTATACGTTGTGAAAATGAAATAGCTACTCGCAGCACTCAATTTCTATTAGAAATGACTAGTTATATCATTTTTCAGTGACAGCATACATGCTGTCACTGAAAAATGTAAAAAAGTCTTATTCCCAATAATCCCCGAATTACAAAAGGCATAATCTCCGCTTTTACCACAATATGCTAATTTGATCCTGTCACAAACTACCTTTGGAGACTGACTGGGAGACCAAATCCGAGACGTAATCACTCTCACATAAAGAACCTCGTCATTCATTCAAGAAATACTACCATTTTTACAGTACTTTTTATGAAAAGGGATGGAACGAGAACTAAAGGAAGATGCCCTCACAACTGTTGAGACGAAAAATCCAAGGATTAACGTATTTACACTTAAACAACATTGCCGTTCAGTGGTTGGGATTCTTCTTGCGTTACTATCTGTTTTATCACTGGTTATGGTGAACGTGTTTGCAAAACTCTGCCTTTTTCTCCCTCCTTTTGAAATTGGAATTATAAGATTTGTGATTCATCTTGTATTGACAATACCACCTGTTATTCACGCAAACCATTCTCTTGTTGTTTGTCCGCCAAAACACATTGTACTTCTTGCTTTGAGGCCATTATTGGGAGCAAGCGGAATGTTTACACGAGTATACGCTGTTCAAAACATGCCTTTGGGGGATGCTACCGTATTAATCTTCACGTCCCCAGTGTTTACAGCCATATTCGGAAGGATATTCTTGAAGGAGCGTTTACATTGGATCTATTCGATTCTTCTTGTATTGTGCTTGGCTGGAGTAACTCTGATTGCACGACCAACATTCATCTTTGGACATCCAGACAGTGCTCCTGAGTATGATAACGTGTTGATACCCTCTCTTGTTGCTTTACTGTGTGCTGTGTTGACAGCTCTTGATATTGTAGGTGCTAGAGTACTTCTAGAAACGTACAAGATTCCATCTAGTTTAGTGCTATTGTACTTTGGTTTGGTTGGACTTGTTTATTCAATTCTTGGCTCCTACTTTGACAGAGGATTCCAGTTTCCATTTTGTCGAAGTACAGATTATTTGTTTGCTTTATGTGTGGGCATCTTTGCATATCTCTCTCAATTATTCCTGAATATGGCGCTTAAATGTGAAAAAGCCTTCGTTGTTGCACTCGCGAGGAGTTCGGGCATAGTGTTTGGGTTCGTCTTTCAAATAATTATTTATTCCCTTRTTCCTAGTTCTTTAAGCTTTGGTGGTGCATCATTGATAATATCATGCAATCTTTTCATTTTTATTTTCAAGTGGTATCATCAAAACATAAATCAATTGTGAATCATTAAATRRTGACAAACAAAAAGTCGCCCATCACTGAGAAGAGGTTGAACATTCGGTACAAGGAGTATTAGAGCTCTACTCCATATTCCGCTGCTCTCAACGAGAAATTTTAATTAAAATGTTATTTCCACTTAATGATTTTCAAGTAGTCTTTACTCTTCCTTCTAGCAAATCGAGAATTCCAAATACTTAACTAAAATAAAATACTTTATTCCGTACTCCGGATTCCGCTTCAACCCCCGAAGAATGCGAATCATTTTCATACCTGTCTATGTGAATTCAAGCTGGAGTGCGGTTGACCTGGGGCTATACACTTTAGCATAAAGGATTAATGTCTACTAGAATTTTCCACTATTTTTTGTACTCAATTGAGGTATTTGCGACATAAACATCTTTATCACTCAGATAC